AGGCATGGCGGGGAAAGCCTGTAACCCCAGAAGTCCCAGAAGTTGATGCAGGAAATGCAGGAGGCATAAATTGGAGCCCATTCTGGTCAGTTTGGAGACTTAGAGAGGCCCTATCTCAAATTTATTTTTAAAATATTTGAAACTGTTAGTCGATTTTTATTCATCTTATTTCTAAAGTTTTCATTTTTTGCACATTTTCTCAGTTTACAACACATAGCACTATAAAACTAATATATATTATGTTTGGATGTTGGATGTTCTCCCAAAAGCCCATATGTTAAAGGCTTGGTCCTCAGAGTGGTCCTTCTGGGAGGTGGTGGAAACTTTCTTTTTCCTTTTTTCTTTATTGGTACATTTTAGGTATACAGTACAGTTCCACTCATCATTGGGATCTTGTACCTTTACATAATATATTTGATTCTTATTTTTTCCCCATTCCCCTGCCCACCCTTCACCCCCTCCACCCTTCCCTATTTACAGATTTTGTTTCCATTGTTTTCCCTTTCTCTTATTTTTTCTTTTCCATTCTTAGCTTTCCTCTACCCCTCTTAAATCCCCTACATCTTCAGACATTTTTTCCTATTACACAGTATCAATTATGCATTTTGATTCTTATTTACACTTTTAGTTTATCACACCAGATAAACTATTCAGTATTTGCACATGTGTGTCCTATTAATTTCACTTGAGTATGTCCTCAATGTACATCCACTTAGCTATAAATATCTCTAGTTTCTCATTCTTTATGTCTGAGTAGTACTCCATTTAATAATTAAAAAAAAAATCTTTATCCGGTCTCTAGTGTATGGGCAATTAGGCTGTTTCCAAGATTTAGCTATTACAAACCGTGCCTCTATAAACATGGGTGAGCATATATCACTGTGGTATGATGCTTTTAATTCTTTTGGGAAGATGCCAAGCAAGGAAATAGGTGGGTCAAATGGGACTTATAATCTTAGTTGTATGAGGTATCTCCATATTGATTTCCACAGTGGTTGCACCAGTATGCACTTATACCAACAGTGAAGAAGGGTTCCTTTCTCCCCACAACCCTGCCAACATTTGTTATTGGTTGATTTCTTGATAGCAGCCATTTTTTCTGAGGTGAGATGGAATCTCAGTGTTGTTTTCATCTGCATCTCTCAAATGACCAGCAATGTTGAAGATTTTCTTATATGCTTATTTGCTGCTTTTACTTTTTTGTTTCAGAGATGCCTATTTTTGAAATGAGTTTTAAAAATTTGGGTGTCTGAATTTCTTTATATATTCTGGATAGTAGACCTTTGTCTGAGGAACTGGTAAAAATTTTTTTCCATATTGTATGTTGTCACCTAGCTGTGTGGGTGGTTTCTCTTGTGGTGCAGAAGCTTTTTAAAAAATGAGTACAGTTTCTCGAAGTAGGTATTGATGATGCTCTGGATTTCTCCTTGATCTGTTGTGACTTCACCTTTTTCATTCCTAATTGCATCTATATGAGCCTCTTCTTTCTTTCTTTCTTTCTTTCTTTCTTTCTTTTTCTTTTTTTTTTTGATAATGTTGGATTAGGGTTTATTGATTTTATTTATTCTTTTGAAAAACCAGCTCTTTGATTCATTGATGTTTTCATATTATTCTCTTGGTTTCCATTGTATTGATTTCTGCTCTGATCTTTATACTTTCTTCCCTTGCATGAGCTTTTGGTTTTTCTTGCTTTTCTTTTACTAGAAGCTTAAGATTCAGCATTTGGTTGTTTATTTGAGCTTACTCTGTTTTTCTAGTGTGGGCATTCACTGCTATAAATTTCTATTGTAGAACTGCTTTCATTGTGTCCTATAGATTCCTATGTGTTGTATAGGCATTATCATTAAATTGTAAAAACTGTGTAATTTCTTCTGTGACCCATTGGTTGTTCAGGAGAGTGTTGTTCAATTTCCAAGTGTTTGTGAAGTTCTTGCGGTTTCATATGCTATTGATCTCAAGTTTAATTGCACTATGGTCTGATAATATACATGGGATAACTGAAACTCCTTTGCATTTACTTAAACATGTTCTATGAGCTAGTATGTGGTCTATTTTGGAGAATGACCTGTGTGTAGCTGAAGAGAATGTATATTCTGATTTTGTGGGGTGGAACACTGTGCAGATGTCCATTAAGTCCATTCATTCAAAAGCTTGGTTCTAGTATTTTATATCTGATTTTTTGTCTAGATGATCTATTTGTGACAGTAGGGTATTGAGGTCCCCCACTACAATTGTATTAGTGTATATTTGGCTTTTCATGTCCCTTATTAGTTGTTTTGTATGGTTGGAGGAATTAGTATTTGCTGCATATATATTTGTGACTGTCATCTCTTCCTCTTGGATTATTCCCTTTACAAGAATGTAGTGACCTTATTTGTCTCTCTTAATTAGTCTTGGTTTGAAATTTGCTTTGACTTCAAAGAAGGCAGCTACCCCTGCTTTTCTCTGGGGTCCTGTCACATGGAGTACTATTTTCCACCCTTTTACTTTCAGTCTATGAGTTTCTTTTTGAACTAGGTGTGTTTCTTGTATACAGTATATTGTTGGATTTTGCTTCTTAATCCATTCTGCCAGTCTATTTATTTTGATTGGTGAACTGGGCCCATTAACCTTGATGGATACAACTGATATGTATTGACTTATCTTCATCATGTTATTTTCCTATTGTTCTTTTTAATTTTTCCCTCTCTCTCTCTAATTTCTTGCCTTGCCTCCTGGATTTGCTATGATGGGCCTCATGAAATTGTGACCTTCATTGTCTTTTCCTAGGATATTATTTATAATTGTTTGGAGTGCTGGTTTTGTCTTCATGAAGATTCTTATGTGTTCTTTGTCATGGAAGTATCTTATTTCTCCATCAGCTTTGAGAGTGAATTTTGCAGTTTACATCAGTTTAGGTTGGAGGTTGTTTTCTTTTAGGGATTGAAATACTTCACTCCAGGCTCTCCTTGACTTGAGGGTTTGGGTTGAAAAGTCTGTTGTGATTCTGATGGACTTTCCTTTGCATGTGATTTCTTTTCTCTAACTGCTTATATATTATTTTGTCCTTCTGTTTAGTTTCTGGGATCTTGATTATTATAGTACTAGGTATAGATTTTTTTGTGATCATGGCTATTTAAACCTTACTTGTATGTATGTCAAATTATTTTGCTCTTTTTGGGAAGTTTTCTGTCATTAATTCTTTGAACAGTTTTTTTTTTTTATGTCACTTGTACTTTCTTCTGCTCTTTCATGAATTCCTATCAGTCTTATATTATTCTTCTTTGCATTATCTAGGAGCTGTTGGATTGATTTCTCATGTTCCCTTACTTTATTTTAACAGATCCCTCTTTTCATGGTCACTGACAATCATCCTGTCTTCTATATCTGATATCCTGTCTTCAGATTGGCTCAGCCTGTTATGTATACTTTCAATAGAGTTTTTAATCTCCTGGATATCTGTTTGAATCTGTTTCATGTATTCCATTTCTTTGCTATGTTGGGCACTCATGGCTTCTTTTAAGGTCCTGAGCTCATGTATTTTTTTGATCTGTTCCAGTTCTAGAGTTTCTAAGACTCTTTCACTGTGCTTACCATCTCTGTAGTTATCAGGGAAATTATTTCTGTTTTGAATTTTTCTAGAGCCTCCTTCATCTGTTTTGTTACTTCCTGTGCTATCAGTTCAGGATGTCCACATGGTTGAGTATCAGGCTTTTCCACCTCATTTTTTTCAGAATTTGCCTTTGATGAACAGACAGCCTTTGTTTGGGCTTGTGCCTTGCTTGAATATCTTGTCATTTCTATTTTTGTAGTTGGTACTGTCCTTGTTTAATATCTGGGTTAACACTTCACTCTTCCTGTTATAGCTTGCCTTTAGGTTTTGAGTCTCTAATTACTTGGAGGCAGTCTCCTTTTCATTATACCAGGTAGAACAATTGATTAAATCAATCACAGCACCTTAGCCCATGTAATACAATCAAAAACAGAACAGCATTAAGCACAGCTTAGACAAATGACAGTTTGTGGTAGTTATTAATCTATCCTCTTTAACTGTATGAATTAAATAAAAATCAAGGCTAGAGCTCAGAACAATAGCCTTTATGACTCCCTGTACCTCTATGCTACAAATACAGGTACCAGCCTAGACAAGAGGTCAGGGGTGTGTGTGGGGAAGGGGGCTGCCCCTCTCACTGTTCCTCTGCCAAGGACTGCAGGGGTGGGGCTGTGGACCCAGGAAAGCTCCATGCACTGTGCCTCTCTTCAAAAAAACTTTTTTAAAAGACTAGTGTATAGCTGACTGGGATCAATCCCCAGTGCAGGAAAACCAAATACTTAATAGTAACATTGAAAGAAAATATTGGTAGATTTTTAACTTTGTATGGATGGAAGTAAAGGAATAAACCCTTAAAAATTATTTATATTTACAGAAAATGTGAAAATTTCTATACATCTCCAAACACAACATTCAAAGTAAAAAGGCAGAGAATAAGCCGGTGGAAGGTGTGTGTGTGTGTGTGTGTGTGTGTGTGTGTGTGTGTGTGTGTGTGTGTGTGACACAATGCTAATATTGTTAATTATAAAAACCTGCTGTAAGAAGTTTCATGAGGGAATGTTCAAGTCCACGAAGAAAAATACGCCCCCTCCCTACAAAAATCACAAACAGGCTCTTTATTTTGGAAGATGAAATAAAATTAGCCTTTAAACATTTAGAAAATATTGATCTTAATTTGTAATCAAGTGAAAATTTAAGAAGTAGTCATGTTTTATTGGATTGTATAGTTACCATAATCTCTATTAATGTGTTCCTTTGTTTCTCAAGGTTGGAATACACTCCAAGGGTTGGGTGTTAGCTGGTGTGTTCCTACTTATGACAGTGCCGGAATCGCTGTGGGGAATGTTACAACATGTAGTGCATTATACACAGCCAGAACTGCAAAAGTCAATTATCAGGGAAATCTTCTATTTTGATTCTACTAATGTTGTGTTGGTTTCTATTGTAAATATAACATAAAGTAATTTAAATTTATTCTTTGCTTTCCAAATAGAATCCCTTGGATGGTTCCCATATATAGTTTGGATAGTGTAAGTATGTTTTGTTTTATTTCATGAACAGAATTTGTTCATATTAACAATGCTTATAAGAGAATACTTAAGGTCATGGAAGTATATCTACAATGAGGGGTTTAGTAAGAAAAACAAAAAGGTTCACCTGTTTTTAATGCTGATAAGAAGGTGTAAAGTATGATAATAGACAATAAAACTGCAAATATATTAAATTTTCAAAATTCTATAACTCTCAGCTTAATTTTTTAAAATTTCAGATTAGTAGCTATTAGTCCTTTAAAGAATGTAATACATTAAATTGCAGTTGTACTGTGATGCTCAACCTCTGCTGATGTTCAACTTCTTGATGTAAAATAGGTAGTGTTGGCATGTAACCTACATGCTCCCTTCCATGTACATTCATGCTCTCTGCACATCGAGTCCTCTCTAGAGGACCTGTAACACCAGACCCAGTACAAATGCTGTGTATGTAGTTGTTATCACTGAGGGAATGGTGACCCCAAAGATTGGTACATGTTCAGTACAGATGGAGGGTTTTTCATTTTTTTGTTACAAATATCTTCTATTTGAACCAAATGAATTTTGTAAAATTTGCCCAAAGGACATGACTGTGGCTCTAATTTGATGAGATATGAAGAAAATGGCTGTAGCAGCATTTTCTATGCTCGTATCAAGAAGATTTTCAGATTAATTTTGAGAACTCAATTTAGCTTCTCTCATGTTCATTATTTATCCCAAACATTTATTTTTTATTTACCTATGTGTAAGATGTTTATTACTCTCTAAAATTATTTTCCAAAGGCTGGGCATGTGGCTCAGTGATAAAGCATGTGCTTAGCATTTGATTCCAGCACCACAGACACACTTCATTTCACAGGTTATCTGGTAGCCATTAGAATGATAAATTGTTATTGAGTGCTCAATATAAATATGTGACAAGACACCTCAAGTTTTAAATTAGCTTATTTTAATACCATAAATTGTATCTAAGATGCAACTATGTTTAATTTCTGTGCTTTTTTATAGTGGGTAACTCTGATAAAACCCAGCACTGCCATATATTTGAATACTTTCCTCCGAGAGTGCTATGAAGCATATGTTATCTATAATTTCATGATCTTCCTGAACAACTACCTAACTAGTCAATATCCAGATGTGATAGCGGTCCTTGAATCAAAAGAACAACAAAAACATACCCTGCCTTTTTGTTGCTTTCCACCATGAGAGATGGATGAGTAAGTATGCTTGATTTTAATTCTCTTCTGTTTAGTTTTATTTAAGCAGTTCTCAGGTATCATTCAGTTTACTGCAAGGCAGTGTATTAAGTACCATGAACAGGGCAAATGAAATAAGACTGAGCCCCTGCCTGGTGAAGTTCATAGTTTGAAGAGCAACAAAATACATTTTTATAACCCACATGTCATGTTTTTTACATTGTTCATCCAAACATAAAAGCTCTACAATGCACTGCAGAAGAAAACCTTAGACATATGTATCAGATATCCTTTTACAATTGGGGCTCAAGATCGGCAGATGTTATGCATGTTCACACACTAGTTAGAAGACTTGGGGAGAAAATAATCTAGGTAGAAAAGCAGCAGATGATATGAAACAGGAGTAACACAAAT